CCAAGCCCCACGACCCCCACCTGCTCCCCCAGCCTCCCCCATGCCCTCCCCAGATCCGGCCCTTTAAAAAAAAACCCAACCCCCCCAAACTCACCAGCTCATGCAGCAGCCTCGGGGCTTCAGGGGGCTTGTGCAGAGCCCTGCCCACACACACACACACACACACACACACAGCGTGGGGCAGCCATGACCATTGAGATGGCAAAAAGCAGGGTCAAAGAATTCTTATAAAGGTATTCTTTCACTCTGTTTGTCTAGAACAGCACAAACAGGACTGTGTGTCTACTACTTCCAACATTATTCAGTGGGGTTTTTTCCTGAAATTTTATGGGTTTCATAGTTTGAAAATTTTGGCCAAAATGCAAATTGGATTAATGGGCTCAGTTACTAAGTAAGGGCCTTGTTACACCTTAAGGAAATTAACAATTAGAACATGATGCAATGGTTTTAAATGGAGTTTATTATACAGTACAGTGTGATGGTGTCCTCTGGGAAAAAGATCAAAAGATGCCTTCAAAGCTTTGCTTTGCTGAGCTGTGTCTCCCCTACGAAGCCTGGTTTGAAGCTCAAGGAGGGAAACAGACACCAGCTCCTCATGTGTGCTATCTTTTGTCTGGCTGGGCTGGTTGGGGGGTGGGGACTTGGAGGAAGAGCCAAAATGCACTGATTGGTCAACCACCAATCCCTGGAAATTCAAACCTCTTGACCAAGTACAGGTCTGGTCTGATTATAATCTCCCTGACCAAGCTGAAAAATGAAAAAGAAGGCTTGAGGAAGACTGTCCCTCCAGATACATTCTGGAAGATTTGTGAATTTCTGGCATTATGCTTGCAGTTCATGCCCCATAGCAACTACCCCCCATTGCACTGTGGAGTAAGGGGAAGGGAGGGTGCATATACAGGATGTGTCTGCTAGGAAAGAAGCCAACCTGGCAGTGAAGCTACCTTAGGCACACAATTGTCATCTTGTGTTTCCACCTCCCCCACCCTACCTAGCTACACATGCAAGCTGGAGGAGAGTGTGTGGGGCACCTGAGGCACATTTGAGGCCTCAAGCTGGAGAGAGCATATGGGCAAGAAGTGCACAAGGAGCTCAGTACAGACATGTACAGACATTTCCCAAAGAATATAAATAAACTTCAGGGAAAGAGGACTCCTGGGAAGGGACAGCATTAACCTCAGAAAGAAAGGTAAGTCCCTATTTGCGGCAAGGATAGCCAATCTTCTGGACAGGGCTTTAAACTAAGATTGCTGGGGGACTGGGATACACAAATTCAAACATGTTCAGGGACCAACATATAAGTAAGCCCTGTAAATAGGGACACTGGGAGAACCACTCTTGCGGGAGCTGAGGGAATAAATAGTTCTCCATCAGTGGGACAAGAAGACGAGGGCCTTAGTAGGAGGACTCAGGTGCTTATATATTTATGCTGGGAGCATGGGGAACAAGCAGGAGATAGCCCTCCTATTCTCCAGTGGGCTTTATGATCTACTAGGGATTAGGGTGGGACTCCTCACACAACTGGAGCATAGCTATAAAGGGCTACACCCTGCACAGAAGGGACTGAGTGGGAAAAAATATGTAGAGGCATTGCTCTCTATGTAAAAAAGCAGTACATCTCCTTGGAGGCCACCATTGTCTCTAAAAATGGACAGCTTGAAACCCTATGGGTCAAGTTGCTGTGGGGAGGCGGGGAAGGCCGGGCAGGGGTGTGGCAAGAGAGACCTAACTGTAGGTGTATACTACAGACCACCAAACCAGGGGGAGGAACTCAATCTGGAGTTCACCTGAGAACTGACTAAGGCTGCATGTGCATGTGACATGGTCATCATGGGTGATTTTAATTATCCAAACATCTCCTGGGAGGAACACTTGGCCAAGTTGGATCGGTCACTATCCTTCCTGACCTGTGTCAAGGAGCTCTTCCTGACTCAGGAGGTGCATAGGCCAACCAGAGGTGATGCTCCGCTGGACATGGTCCTGGCCAAAGGAGATGACTTGGTGACCAACTTAAATATAGAGGGAAGTCTGCATTACAGCAACCATCATGTTCACTGTCCAACATAAGCAGAAAAATCAGATACAGGACTGAAGTCTTGGACTTCAACAACGCAATTTTCAACAAGCTTAGGTCACTAGTAGGGCAAGTGCTGCAGGACCAGGGACCAAGGGCGAAAGGTGTGCACGAAGAGTGCCTGTTCTTTAAGGACACAATCCTTGAAGCACAAAGGAAGTCCATTCCCAGGTGGAGAAGAGGTAACAGAAGGGCTGGGAAGCCCTTTTGGCTAAGCAGGGAAATCATAGTCCTCTTAAGAAAGAAGAAAGAAGCTTATAAACAATGGAAGCTCAGGGCAGACCCCAAAGAGGACTGTTCCATGACAGCTCACATTTGCAGAGAACAGATAAGGCAGGCTAAAGCAGCAACAAAACTCAGATTAGCAATGGGAATCTAGGACAACAAGAAGTCTTTCTTTAGGTACATAGGGAACAGGAGGCCATTGCTAAACAACTCAAGAGAGCTGGCTACCAGCAGCCAGGAGAAAGCTGAACTCCTGAATGACTACTTTACCTTGGTCTTTCACCAGACCAAGGGGAAAACCACGCCAGGTAGGGTAGAGGATGAGCACGGTAGGAATAATCACCTTCCTACTATTGCCGTAGAATTGGTGTATGACCAGTTTAAAAAATTAGATGTATATGTCAGCAGCACCGGATGATCTTCATCCAAGAGTTCTGAAGGAGCTAGCTGAAGTCATTGCAGAACCCCTGATGACACTTTTCCACAACTTGTGGCACTCTGGAGAAGTCTCTGAGGACTGCTACAATGCTACAAGTTTTAGAGAGATAAATTGTGCTTGCCTTGCTCTGCCCAGGCACTTCCATGGGAACAGCAGAACTAAAGTGCAACTCTACTATGGTAAGTGCCCCCTAGGCTACCTAATCTAAAAGTACCATTTTATAACTGTGTTGCTTTTCTTATAGTGAAAAACAAGGGTGGCACGTTAACATTATTCTTCCATGGGAGGGGGAACAGCTTATTAGAGAGACAGAGGGGCTGGAGTGCAAGGGAAAGTAGCCAGCCAGAAATTGCAGCCAGCATCTTTTCCTTGCTTGGGCTGTTTGGGGATGTGCCAGACTCCAGCCCCTCCCCACTCAGCCCCAGACAGATCCAGATTCAGCTGGCCTTGTCCCATCCCGGACATCCCCTCCCGCCAAGTGCCAGGGAGCATGAGATGGCCCATTAATGAAATCATTTGTCCTTGAATAGGCCTGGCTGGCTGTCCATGGAATTCCTGGTTGTGCCACTAATTGATATCACTCATGCATTGTGAACTGCACAGTGCCTTTGTCCTTGTGGCCCTGCTGGGGTGGGGGGCAATCAGCATCACCTGTAATCCCAGCTCCTGATTAGCCCACTCCCAAATTAGGGCCCCAAAATGGCCCAAGCTAACCCTCCCCCCCACCAAAGGCCCAAGTCTACCCTCAATCTCTCATCCATCCCACTCCAAAGCTCCCAAACACCACACCAATCCAACATCAGCCACCCTCTCCCCATCCAAACCCCAACTTGCTAGAAAGGTTTCCTGCAGAGTACTCAATTCCTATGGTATACGGGTTCGTTTCCTGAGTTCAGGTTCAGAGATGGGGCTCAAGAAGAGAGTCACAGAGGACATGAGGTCCATGGACCTTTCTTGGAGGGCAGCAGGTGGTTAGAGGTGACCGCCCACAGGCACTGCCGGCAGCATCAATGGTGGCCAATCTCTGGGGGTGCACCACCAATCCCAGGGGGTACATATGTACCTGCATGTACCCCCTACATATTGCTGATACACTATTGGCACCGCTGCTCCTCACATAGAGCAATTTCAGGAACTTTATCTTGGTCCTGACCTGGAGTCAGTCTTGCTGATGCCCCTGTGCCACCATCTGCCATGTGATCCTTTCATAAACATCCTGATCCTGCTGGTTTACTTTGGTTCCCTTTGCTATGCTTGCAATGGTCCTCCTCTCCTCTCCCCATATTGCAATAAATTCTAGCACCTCACCCCAGCTCCAATTAGATGCCAAGCTAGTCGGGTACAAGGGGGACATCCTTTGTTCATGTTGGCTGAGAAAGTTGGAGGTTAATGGAGGAAAAGTTTGTACTTGCTAGCTGGCATGTGCTCTGCAGGCTGTTTGCACTGGGGTGGGAAGGTCATACCCCTGGGAGTGGGAGGGCAGTTGGCTTGGTGCCCTCTGGGCAGTACAGTACAGGGGGCAGAAAGTTTTTTCCACACAGAGGAAGGTTGGGGAGGGGTCACTGCATCCTGGGATACTACAAGACTTCAATTTTGGCAGCATAGCTATGGGGAGTGGCCACACCTTAATGGAAAAGAACCAAGGTTATGCAGGCATAAATTTAAGCCATATAGGCTGTTTGCAGACATTAAAAAAATGGTGCATTACTTTAAACTCCGTATGCTCCTGCGCTGAGTCCAGCACATGCCCAGAACAAGCAGAGCATTGGTTGAACCTGGCTCACCCAGCATCTGTATAGACTGGGCACTTTAGTTTTACTTTTTGGCACTTTTATCTAATAGCTGATTGATTAGCTTTAGCTAAAAGCACCAAACCCCCCCTGCTGAAGCGCCCAATGTATACAGATATTGCAGAGCCAGGTCAAAGTAACGCATTGTTTCTTCCAGTAAAACACATTTTGTTTTGTTTTTCTGCAAGCAGCCATAATGAGTATATCAAGCCACTTAAAGGTGTTAATGTGCGGCCAATCCAGGGGTTAAGAGCTCCAGAAGCTGCCTAAAATTACCATGTAGCAAGGCCCTTAATAGCAAATTTTGAACTGACTGGAGTTTTTAAAAAAGCTTTAGTTTCTTTCTAAGGCACACAATACTGCAATGAATCTGGAGGTCATCAATGCCTCAATTACCAGGGTCTTGTCTAAATCTTATAAGATGTGGTTGCAATCTGGGCCAACCAGGAGGATATTTTCTGCAGCCTTTGGGTCAGGTAAACAACATAATTTAGATGCTGCAGTGCTCAGCATAAACATTCAAACACCTTGTTGTGTAGCAGAACTGAAAGCCCCAGGATGCAAAGAAGTCAAAAGAGTAAGGGAGGTGACTAAGCTATCTAGTAGGAAACATTTAAGGTAGGGACTCAGACTCAAAGACAAATGTTTCTCTCAATTTGTTATGCACAGGCACATATCTTCTCCTAAAGTTAGGTGCCTAAACCAGTCCATTTTTTAAAAGCAGGGAGGCAGAAGTGATGGTCTTTTCTTCAATAGCCAGATGCTTGTAGCACTCAGCCTATATGTGGAGCTTGGATTAAAATCCCCTTTCCCCTCAGGGATCTTGAACCTGTATTTCCCATGAGAGTGATTAAAACACCAGGCTTTAGGGTACTCTGGAATGGTGATGTAGTCAGATCTCTCTCAAGCAGGTGAACTTATTTCATGAAATAAATATTGTGCCAGGGAGACAGAGAGAATGTGAAAATCCCACAATTAGCTGAGAAAGGGGAGACATACATTCCATTTTCTATTCCAAAGCAATATAGAATATGCAACCATTTACTGCAACAGGACTGGACCAGGTCTTCCCTTCTCCAGAGGAGTGCCTTCACCTGTAAACTAAAAGATTGTTCTCCCTCCCACCCTTCTCCCGTGCTCTGCTCAGGGAGCACTTATCACAGCGGCAGGCAATTATTTTGGGTGGACAGCTGCTTACCAAGTTGTGGCAAGCTGTCAAGGGCTGCATGTGTAGCTCCACCCCTTAGCAGGTGCCCCACCCCTTGACAGGTGCCCCACCCCTGGTCACCATCTTGAAACCAATGTCCCAATGCCTTGGGAACAGTGTCCCAGGGCCAGCATTGGTGGGGCCCAGAGCAGGATGCAGGCTGGCAAGGGTCTGTGGAGCCAGGCTGGGCTGCACCAGCAGGGAGAGGGGGGAGCTGGCTCAGCTCCATAGAGCCCCTGCCAGCTGGGACCCCTGTACTCCTGCCACTCTGCTTTGGGCCCTGCTGGCGCTGGCCCTGGGACACAGGTGTGGGCCCTGGTCCCGCACCTGCTCACTCCCAGTGCCCCCCCCAGCCCCACGGTACAGGTGGGGGGCAATGCGCAGCAGGTGTGGCCCCCCCCACTTGCCACTCTGGGCAGTGTTTGCTGCTGCTGCCCACCCAGAGCTCACGCACTGGGCGGCAGCAGCAAACACTGCCCAGCGTGGCAAGCAGGGGGCCCGCACCTACTGCCGTTGTGCGCAGTCCTGACAGGTGAGCCTGGAGCTGGCACGGGACCCAGGCTGGCAGCAGGGCAGGTTACAAGCTGGTGCTGAGTGCAGGGGAAAAGCGGCTCCTTGCCTGCCCCATGGCCAGTGCCCCATGCTGCAGCCACTCACAGCTGGTGTAGGGCTGCCTGTGCCTGCTCAGGACAGCCCCACGTGGGCTGCGAGTGGCTGCAGCAGGGAGCTCCAGGCATGGGGTGGGGGAGGGGCCTCTTTCCCACCATGCTCAGCACCAGCTCATCCCCTGCCCTTTCCCAAACCCCCCACTTACCTGAGTTTCCCGTGCCGGCAGCCACATGGTCCCAAGCCAGAAGACCCTGCTGGGTCTTCCAATTGGGAGGGTGGAGTCAGGCGAGCCCTACTGTTGAAGGAGCCCTCCAGGGCTTTCCCTGGGTCCTGCTGCCCTTGGTTCCTGTCATCTTTGACAGGAACCAAGAACAGATAAATTTAAATTTTCTAAATTTTTTTAGGGACTCTGCGGGCCAGATAGAATGACCTCATGGGCTGGATCCAGCCCACAGGCTGTATTTTGCCCACCCCTGACTTACCAGATCAGACCCCCTAAGTAAGATAAGCAGAAAAACATTTTAGTTGTGAATTTTAATGGCTCTTACACACTAACTAGTTGCCTAGCTACTTAGCACTATCAAGGGGAAAGGGGATTTTAATCCAAGTTCCACATATAGGCTGAGTGCTACAAGTATCTGGCTGCTGAAGAAAAGACCATCACTTCTGCCTCCCTGCTTTTAAAAAATGGACTGGTTTAGGCACCTAACTTTAGGGGAAGATATATGCCTGTGCATAACAAATTGAGAGAAACATTTATGTCTTTGAGTCTGAGTCCCTACCTTAAATGTTTCCTACTTAGTGATTCTGGGTACATCTATTTAGGTACCTATAGTCTTTGGCCACCTCTAGGCAGTTGGAGAGAGGTTTTGAGGATTGAAATTTTGGATTTAGGCACCATAGAGGTGCCTAGTTAAGAAATTGTTAAGCACCCTTACATCTATCCTATAGTTTTAAAAAAAATATGATGTAATAGTAATTACTTGCTATCATACCACTCTGTGTACTTGTGTCAGAGATTAAATAATCTAGCACCATTTGAGAAATTCTTTATATCTGTCCAATGTATGCTCATAAAAAATAAATAATTTGACATCTCTTTAAAAGTCTATTATTATTATCATTACTTATTATAATGATCAACATGATTCTGGACATGAAACATAATTTCCATCACTTTTTGAAAACGTTGCATTCAATTTCTTATGTGTAAGCCCATTTACAGTCCAGCTATAAAAGCCACATGCTGTTTTGTTTTGTTTTGTTGTGTATTGTATTGTATTGTACTTGCCCATGCCTTTCGATTCATTTTTGGACAAGTTCTTTTTGGCATAGTTCACATATTGTTCAAGCCATGTATAGTTACATCACTCTATTATGACTAAACAAATAGGAATGCTTTTCAACCTGAGAGAGTTGTTCCATTTCCAAATACTTACATTGGCAAGTATATGTGCACATGTGTATATGTGAATATGGACAAGTATTCCTTACTCTGTTATTGATCCACTGTCTACATTCCAATAGATTTCAGGAGATATTCATGCCAAACAATTATAAGATCCAATTTAACATAGAATTAAAAGATCATCTTTGAAAATGTGAATTCAAAATATCCTGGAATGTCTCTGCTGTTGGAATATAATGACAGTGAGGAGAATAGTGCGCAATTTTATAATTCTGCATAATTCTCTTGAAATATGTCTCTTCCCAGATCCCGGTTCTGTGCTTCTACCTCTAACTGTTTAATTCTGTAGAACACTGCGAAGAGCTATAAAGATCCCAGTTTGTGAACCAGTGATGCACAGTATTCTGAGCAATACTTTTTTATATATTAATAACCTTTTTGTCTTGATGCACACTGTATCTGAGGTGAAACTTTCCCCAAAATAATCTTTTGGAATCATTGATATGATTGCTGCTAAAATGTATTTCGTCAATATTCCCTAACAAGTTGGATGTTACCAGTGTGTTATTTCTCATTTGTTAGTTAATCATCCTGATAAAATGCCTGGTACAGAGAAACTTCAATAAATCAGTTATTAGCCATAGTAAAGACTGGATTGGAAGGAAACAGCCTGATAATAAACTATAAATAACATCACAGTGATTAACTGTAAACAACTACATTATTCTTTTTAAAATGAAAGAAAAATTGGAATAACTATGGACTCTGACTTTTCCGTTTGCTGAAACCCACAAATTTTAAGCATTAGACCTTTGGAGAGAGAACGAGCATAGATCACAGAATGAGACTAGGCTGATAGGTAGCTATCATCCATCATACCTAATAAAAGTTTGTGTAATTACATAAATGGCTTTTCTTTTGAAGAAAAAACGTCTTCACTAATGCTATCTCCCTGAAAAAGAAAAAAATAACGTAAAAATGGTGGTTCTGTTGTCTGTGCTGAGAGAAATTCAAGGATATTCAAAGGAAAGCAGTCTGCAAATGACATCATGGTAAAAATATATACAAAGGATCAGTCAAATCAGTAAAAACATCATATGGCAGCACAAGATAGAAACAATCTGAAAAGGAGTTATTAGAAAAATATTCTTAGTAACAAG